TTTTATTTTATGTAAAACTGAATTTATCTTTAATCCAAGTATCCGATTGCAAATTACCTAGTTACCAGCGAGATTTGAAATTGTAAAACAAAAAGCATCAAAATAAAGTTTTCATTATTATTATTATTATTATTATTACTATTACTATTATTATTATTATGCAGTTTATTAAACATCTGGATGCGAGGCAAAAACAAGTAAAACGCGCGTAAACGTAACCTATGGTTATTCAAACTATTTACAATTAGATATACTCTACAATAAAATATTTACAAATTTAACAATTATTTACGATATACATCAGACCATTTAGTAAATGCAGAACATAAGAAATACTTTTGAAATAATATAAATCTAAAATTTGTAAAAGGAATAGATTATATCATGCGTAAAATGTATAACTTCTTATAAGAATTCAGTTCATATAATAGTTCATTTCCTACATGTCCAATATAAGCAATATACACCTCCTATATGTTCTTAAATATCCTATATCATGTTGTATATAAATGCTCATGTTATGATCTTAAATGTACTTGCTATGTTTAAAGTTCCTGATAAGACTGCTTTCTGCATATTACGTAGCACATCTTTGGTCATTTTTCCCAATAACTTTCGCAGATCTTCCTCCATACTCCTTGACCGTCCTCCTAACACATCCATAATGAGATTGTAATGATGTACTTTGTACCTAGGGTATTGATCTTGCAATTCCCAACGCAGCGGACCTTACTTCAACGTCTTCTTTTCATCTTTCTTATCTCTATTCTCCACCCATAGGCAGCTCATCTCCAGAATCACCACTTCCTCTCTTTTATGATTTACAATTTTAACATCAATTCTGTTGGCTTTTAACTCGTGGTTCTCGCCGTAAGTTGGAATGTCCTAGAGTGCATGAACGTCATCGGTAATATACTCCAGTTTCGGTCTAATTGGTGAGTACCATGCTGGAACACGATCGATCAGCTGTAGTTCTCGTAACAGCTCAAAGTATAAAACTTTCAGCGCATTATTGTGTCTTGTTGCGTACTTGTTCTGTGCAAGAGCTGAGCATTCCGCTAACACATGAGCAACACTCTCTGGTTTCTTATTACACATGCGACAGGTCACGTTGCTTGACTGAGATGTCTTAATCTTCTTCACTTGATATATCTTTGTAGGTAGAAGCTGTTCATAAAGCTCGCACATTCCAGCCACCACATAAGTTGGGCATGTCGTCCACTCTTTTAGCCATGCAAAACAGTTCTTAGTATTGAGGGTGTCATCATCCCATCTTATTGTGTGTAATTTCCTTTGCCATGCTTCACCACTTACCGTCTTTAGCAGCTGTTCTTCAAACTTTGACTTTAATAGTCCCTTTGCCTTTACTACATTAATCTTCTCTGTATCATCTTTACACACCGTTGGTTCTGGATGAACCAATTCTAACTTTAGACCTAATTCTTAGCAATACTATTATTATCATCACCATTATTATTATTATTATTATTATTATCATTATTATCATTATTATTATCATTATTATCATTATTATTATTATTATT